GCAGCAGCTCAATACTCTGAGCGCGTGATGTTGATTTTAAATGTGGAGGGGAAAACCCGGAAACAAATCCTCCACGCGACCACGGGTGGAGAGAGACACGCAAACTAAAGGATGTGAATAACTAGAGACTGAATCTCAATGGGTCTCTCAACTGGTTAAATAAAGGATGTGAATCACTAGAGACTGAATCTCAATGAGTCTCTCACCTGGTTAAATAAAGGATGTGAATCACTAGAGACTGAATCTCAATGGGTCTCTCAACTGGTTAAATAAAGGATGTGAATCACTAGAGACTGAATCTCAATGAGTCTCTCACCTGGTTAAATAAAGGATGTGAATCATTAGAGACTGAATCTCAATGGGTCTCTCATCTGGTTAAATAAAGGATGTGAATCACTAGAGACTGAATCTCAATGAGTCTCTCACCTGGTTAAATAAAGGATGTGAATCACTAGAGATTGAATCTCAATGAGTCTCTCATCTAGTTAAATAAAGGATGTGAATCACTAGAGACTGAATCTCAATGAGTCTCTCACCTGGTTAAATAAAGGATGTGAATAACTAGAGATTGAATCTCAATGAGTCTCTCATCTAGTTAAATAAAGGATGTGAATCACTAGAGACTGAATCTCAATGAGTCTCTCACCTGGTTAAATAAAGGATGTGAATCACTAGAGATTGAATCTCAATGAGTCTCATCTGGTTAAATAAAGGATGTGAATCACTAGAGACTGAATCTCAATGAGTCTCTTATCTGGTTAAATAAAGGATGTGAATAAATAGAGACTGAATCTCAATGAGTCTCTCACCTGGTTAAATAAAGGATGTGAATCACTAGAGACTGAATCTCAATGGGTCTCTCATCTGGTTAAATAAAGGATGTGAATCACTATAGATTGAATCTCAATGGGTCTCTCATCTGGTTAAATAAAGGATGTGAATAACTAGAGACTGAATCTCAATGAGTCTCTCACCTGGTTAAATAAAGGATGTGAATAACTAGAGATTGAATCTCAATGAGTCTCATCTGGTTAAATAAAGGATGTGAATAACTAGAGACTGAATCTCAATGAGTCTCTCATCTAGTTAAATAAAGGATGTGAATCACTAGAGACTGAATCTCAATGAGTCTCATCTGGTTAAATAAAGGATGTGAATCACTAGAGACTGAATCTCAATGGGGGACAGCGGTGGTCACCGCGCCCTCGTCGCGGGGCCGTCTGGAACGCTCTGCCATTCCCATATCACGAAGCCAATGGGAGCTGTGCACTTTTACATCGTCATCATCTCGACTGACAAACTCATTTGTCTAGAGCTGTTTCTTTTTGTGTTTAGTTTGTTGCCCTTCCCCCGCTCCCTCCGATGAGCGCGGTTGGCTACGTACGGTGCGAAAGAAGTGCAACGTGCTATATATGCATGCATAACAGGTGCTATAGGCTGCTGCTAAGTGGTGGGCGGTGGATTGTATTGCACCGACATTAGTTGTACCGTACTTCTGCGCCTTACCGCGCCCAAATGCTCGCCCGCTCCTTCACCAACCCGCACTGACCAGCGTGGTGAAGTATGGCCAACACGGCTATTTTGTACATTTGCACGCGATAAGCCGCTCTGTGGAGCTGTCGTTCGTGGCCAGGTCGCTTCCGTAGACGAAGTTAATATCTCAGAGGGCCTTACCTGCTGTAGTAAAATAGTTTATCTGTATATTTATTGAGTGATGTGTTTACCTTTCCTATACTTTGCACCCCTATCGTGTGTTAGGGGCCGTCCATATATGACGTCACGCACCTGGGGGGGGGGGGGGTCAGACATTTGTGACGATGTGTGACGAGGGAGGGGGGGGGTTGAGAAATGTGACGTCACATCAAAATTCGCAACTTTAAATAAATATAGACAACACGTTCTACTTAAATAGATTTCGATTTAAAGCTTTCGTGACTGCAAGGATTAATATTCTTTCGTTCTTTCGGTAAAGTCACGTAGAATGAGAATAAAAAATTTAAATTAAATTAAATAAGACGATATTTTAATTTTATTTTATTATTTTATTCTCATTCTACGTGACATTACCGAAAGAACCAAAGAAGATAATTAAATAGACTTTTTAATAAATGGTTTCTCCTACAACATCAGAGTGCAGCGCCACATTAAATACGCATTACAATGACAATAGTTTAAAGCGATTTGAAGCATGTTTTTTTTGGGGGGGGGGGGGTGGGTCAGAGCTTTGTGACGTCATATTTGAGAGGGGGGGGTCTGACTTTTTGTGACGCCGTGTGACGAGGGGGGGGGGTCAAAAATCGTCCAAAATCGCGTGACGTCATTTATGGACGGCCCTTTAGTGTTTTGTGTTTGTTCTTATAACCCCGTGCCCCTAACTGGACATCTGTGAAAAAAAGAGCTTCACAGCTCATCGGATTCCTGCTGCGGTATGAATACTGCCGCTGTGCGTGAGCAACTCCCCGGTGGCGATTTGGCGAGTTGCCGCTAGGGGCCGCTGTCACACCGAGCAAGTTGGACAGGCGATAAGCACGGGCGGGTCCAGATGTCTTGTGACTCACATTCTAATTAACACGACGCAGAGCTGCGTCGATCTGTTGTTTTCAGAGGCGAGCCTGGCGATCACAAGTGACAGCCTCAAGTGACGGGTCATCATCACCACCACCACGTGGAGATTTATAGCAGCAGCTCAATACTCTGAGCGCGTGATGTTGATTTTAAATGTGGAGGGGAAAACCCGGAAACAAATCCTCCACGCGACCACGGGTGGAGAGAGACACGCAAACTCCAAATATACAGCAGCAGGCGTCAGGGTCTGGGATGGAACCCAGGCCCTTCTGTACACCAGGAGAGGTAATTAACATCTCGCCCCTTGGTGAGGGCTGGATCACGTTCCAGACTTATATTAAAACTGCACTCCAGAGTCCTGCATCCGAAAATCCATTCCACAATTCGCTTCGGATCTCCTTTTTAAACCACTCCAGGCTCTTATTTTTGAAGCTCTGCTCCAAGTTTTACCTGAGGTACCCGGCTTCACCTTGGTAGCCACACTCCAGGCTCCAGTGTACTATACTCCAGTCAGTATAAGTGAATGTTCAATTCCACTCCAGATTCATATTCTTTGTTCTTTCGGTAGAATCCACTCCGGATGTTATAAATGACTCCACGGTCGTTTTTAGGGTACTCTGCTTCAGGGTTTCCAAAGGCGTGGTCGACTCCGCCTTTGGAGTGGACTCCAGGCTCCAGTATAGGGGACTCCATTCCGGATCTCCCTATAAGTCACTCCAGGGCCTCGTCACTAAAATAAAACACCACTCCAGGCTCCTGTTCTTAATACTCCACTCCAGGTTGTTGTACGCGGCATTTCGCTCATGGAGCAAAGCTCCGCACTGCAGCCTCTCGATGAAGAGCCTCCAGGCTCTAATATATGAGACTCCATTCCTGGTTTTCCTACAAAAGTACTCCGGGCTCCTGTCTGTATGACTCCGCTCCAGGCTATCATAAAAAATACTCCAGGTTCCTGTGTATGATACGCCGCTCCAGACTCCTGTGTTATAATACGCCACTCCGGGTTTATGTGTGTGAATTACCACTCCTGGTCTCAATGTGTGGGGAGCGGTTATCTGAACCGGTCCTGGGCCTCCCCTAGGTTGACTCCGCCTCAAATGAGTACAGGATCTGGTGCGGTGTGCAGTAAACATCGCCAGTAGGGGAGGCAAAGGCGGCCGGGCGTGGTGGTGGTGGTCACCCGCCCATTCGTGGGCCACAGTGCCGGCCTTCATAGGTGCTGCTGCTCACTAATAACAGCACTTGTCCCAGCAATCTGTTAAGGTCTTACGAAAAGAGACTCCATACTCCTATGTGCTAAAACCCCACTCCTGGTTTCCCATTAAAATAATTCCAGGCTCCTGTATTAAATACTCCACTCCGGGCACACGATACAAACAAAAATAGTTCCAGGCTCCTGTGTGTGAGACTCCACTCCGGGTTCGCCGGTGTAAAATAAATCCCGCTCCGGGTTTTCCCCCCCTCCGCTCCCCGAAGACTTCCTCGGCTCCGCCTCGTTGCGAGCGAGCGAGGAGCGGCAGCGGCACGCGCGCGGCAGTGGCGGAGTGGATCGGGACGACCTTGTGGAGATCTCGCTCGCTCACTCGCTCTCTCTCCCGTCCGTCCCTTGAGTCTTGACACACACACAGACACACACACAGAGACGCACAGACACACAGAGACACACAGAGACAAACAGACACACACAGACACAGGCACACACACAGGCACACACAGACACTCGACGAAGGGTGACGCTGGAGAGGGCCGGCGAGTCGACGAGAGCGAGGTCGATGGATCCGGGCCCTCTCTACGCAACGTGGCTTTGCTGACGCCGCCGCCAGCAACACGACCAGCAACACGACCACCACCACCAGCAGCAGCAACACGACCATCACCACCAGCAACACGACCACCGCCAGCAACACGACCACCACCGTCGCCAGCAGCAACACGACCACCACCACCGCCGCCAGCAACAGCAACACGACCGCCGCCGTCAGCAGCAGCAGCCACTATTGTGTATCTGCTGCTGGATGAAGGCCTCCTGCGTGTGTTCGCCGAACTTCTTTCGCACCGTACGTAGCCTAACCGCGCTGATCGGAGGCGCGAAATCCACGCGGACCACCCCGGGAATTTTTCTTGACGCCCGGGACAGCAGCGGTGCTGGTGGTAGTTGTGGTAGTTAGTAGTAGTTAGTAGTGGCGGTGGTAGTTAGTGGTGGTGGTAGTTAGTGGTGGGTAGTGGTAGTTAGTAGTAGTGGTGGTGGTAGTAGTTAGTGGTAGTTAGTGGTGGTGGTAGTTAGTAGTAGTGGTGGTGGTAGTTAGTGGTAGTTGGTGGTGATAGTTAGTGGTAGTAGTAGTTAGTGGTAGTTAGTGGTGGTAGTTAGTGGTAGTTAGTGGTGGTGTTAGTTAGTAGTAGTTAGTGGTGGTGGTAGTTGTGGTAGTTAGTGGTAGTTAGTAGTGGTGGTGGTAGTTAGTAGTAGTTAGTGGTGGTGGTAGTTAGTAGTAGTGGTGGTGGTAGTTAGTAGTGGTGGTGGTAGTTACTGGTGGTGGTGGTAGTTAGTGGTGCGGTCGTGCCCGCAGCCCTGCCCGTCTTGAGACGTCTGCCGACCTTTGACTGCGATTCCGTGCCCAGTGTCGACCAGCAACCACTACCAGCGGCACGGAGAGAGACGACGATTCCTGGTCACAAGCCTTGTTACGTAGCCACCGTTACAGTTTTGTCGTGAACATCCAAAATAAAACCACGAAGGGAACAACAAACAACAGCAACACGAACCCTCAACAAGTGTCCGCGGAACTAAACGTCGGAGAACTAGCTTGCGAGAGAAGATGGACGCGGAATACACTCGAGCCAATGAGTCCATCGAGATGAACGAGTCTCCCAAGACCGGTAAGCGCGTCCCGGCATGGTAACGTGGAATTGTCCGTCTGCCCCATGACCAGGGTGGTAATCCCCTGCTGCCCCATGCGTGACCTGCCGCCCTTATCCGTGCTGTTGGGTCATTGGGGGTATTGTTTTGACCATACTTCACCGCGCTGGTTAATGAGGTTTTGCTGGGTTGAATGGTCTTCATCATCATCAGGAGGTGTCCACTGCATACACCAAGTTATTTGTTTACACTTTACTCTCGATATAGTAGTGTATACTGTAGTGTATAGTGTATCGTAATCATCACGACGATCCATGCATGGGCAAACATCCCGGATCACCCCAAGGTATTATTAGTTTCCACTTTGTTGACTTGTCGTGCCAGTCTGCTCAAGTCGTGGCCCACATCTTGGCTGGTTCCACGCTCGTCTTGTGCCATCATCACGTCATTCTCTGTGGGTCTCTCTCTCTCGAGTCCATTCCATTTGTTCGGAACAACAACAACCACCACCACCACCACACACTTTAAAATGTCCTGCTGTTGTCCATCTTACTACATATCATCATCACCGCATCAACACCACCATCTCTGACTTCTACGTTAAAGAATTCTGTGAACCCGGCTTAGAATCAGCAGCAGCAGTAGTAGTAATCCTGTGGCACTGCAGTGTACATTTCGAGTGTCAATATCTCAATCTCTGTCAGTCTTCAGCTTGTTAATGTCCCAAGTCTCGCAGGCACCCACAGCTGGCGTGAACCTTGTTAGCCCAGTTTGCTTCCTTCTCCCGATGTTACTATATTCCTAAATCCTGCCATCACCACGGGTTCAGTCTTTGCGATGATCGCTCGTCCGTCTTGTGCCTCTTGTGCAGTCGTTTCGTGCGTCCGCAGACTTCCCAGGTTTAATACGAAACAGTCCTTAACATTCACAATCTTACCGCGTTTCTATGAATCCCTTATTTGTCACTGCCCTCCCCCTACCACGCCAATTCTCACTCCCTGCATAGCTTTGCTGACTCGATTCGGATGTAGGGGTAGGTTGGGAACCATTTGCGTGGTAGCATGGAAAGTAGTGTACAACAATGGATGTTACGGCCTTGCTGTAGTCGTAACCCATGTGTGTGTGTGTACTGTCAGCAGGATTGTTTAACAGGATTTCAATGTTCTTGTATGCCACTTTGTGATTGGTTTTCCTATATAAGGAAATGTTACAGGGGAGGGTCGATAAATGTGATACTAGTTTGTTGGTGAACTGGATATGGGATAAACATCCCAAAGAGCAAAACTCGCTGTTAAATATAAGGCGTCATACATGTATGTCATACTACTACGACTTTAGTCTTGATTTGAAACCTTCGTGACTGCAGTAATCCGTAATCTGTGCTTATTTCGGTAAAGTCATCACGTGGTAGGTACAACAATAAAATAAATCACGACGTTTCGATCGCCACACAAGCAATCGTCCTCAGGTGGGATGTTCTACCTAGGTGACACTACGACTTTAATTGTATATAGCGTCATTCATGCGAGTAGCTTCCCAATACGCTGCACATGAATGATTTAATTCACACCAAACCGAATCCCACACACAGCCACTCCCAAACAAAACCAAACCTTCATAAACAACGCGTGTACACACACACACACGTGGCACCAAACCAAAGTGGCCCAAACGGTGATCACCACAACCACCACCGTGCCCGTGTGGGCTTTCACAAGACGAGGCGTGCACGAGGCGACGTTTCGGGCAATGGCCCTCGTTCGTAGCAAAGGGCCCGGGAACGGAACGCTCAGTTTGAGTGGCCGATCGCTTAATTCTCTCCCTTCTAAGGCCTCGCGTGCAGCGGCAGCAGCAGCGACCTCCTCTAGGTCGACTCAGACTTAAAACCACATCAGCACTGGGGAGACAAAGGCGGCCGCGCGTGAGGCGCTGGCCACCAACCCACCCACGAAGGACCTCGTGTGCCGTGACTTCCTGGTTAGGTGCTCGCTAACAGCACTTGTCCCAGCAGTCTGGAAAAGCTATATGGGGGATCTTTGTCGTTGTGTGGTTGTGTGTGTGTGCTCGCTAACAGCACTTGTCCCAGCAGTCTGGCAAAGCTATATGGGGGATCTTTGTGTGGTTGTGTGTGTGTGCTCGCTAACAGCACTTGTCCCAGCAGTCTGGAAAAGCTATATGGGGGATATTTGGCTTTGTGTGGTTGTGTGTGTGTGTGCTCGCTAACAGCACTTGTCCCAGCAGTCTGGAAAAGCTATATGGGGGATCTTTGTGTGGTTGTGTGTGTGTGTGCTCGCTAACAGCACTTGTCCCAGCAGTCTGGCAAAGCTATATGGGGGATCTTTGTCTTTGTAACTTCAATGGCACCGCGCACACGTTTTTAGGGTGCGTCTTATAATATTACGGGTGATTAGCACGGTTGGCTACGTACGGTGCGAAAGAAGTTCAACATATATACATGCACGTGATCAGTGCTCGTATCGTGGTGGGTGGGGATGTGATGATGCGTTGTGATGTTTTTGCTGTTGTTGCTTTTACAATGGAGGTCATTTAATCAGATGCAGCACAATGCAGTCATTTGCATAACTTATTATTCGATCGTACGGCTGATGATGTTGATTGCAGAGCAACGACTCTACAATGTCACATTGAGGTGACCAAGCCACAGATAACCGCGTGAGGAGCCAGCGGAGTGAGCGCATCATCATCATCATCAGAGCTGTGATGTCTTCTTCGTATTTGTGGGTCTCGGGGAATTGCGTCGTTACACGCCGTCACTGACGGTCAGTTCTGGATGACCACAGTCGCACCGCCACTGGATATGTTTTAATTTGACATTGGTTGCATCAGGAAACCGCATCAGCTGCTGCCGTGCTTTGTGCAGTGGGTGATGTGGTTCAGGGTGGTGGACCATGGGCAGCTTCGTGAAACATTAAAAGAGGTGTTTACCCGTTCTGGGAACACAACGGGAGTTGTGCGAAGACGTTCAAACACAAAATAGAAATCTTTTGCAAGGCATCAGGTCTGCATTAAACACGCATGTGGCAAAACATGCAAACGAACATGCTGTGATGATGATCATAATGTTACGCATTGACTTTGAAACTTATTGGCCTGAGCCAGAGACGGCCTTCTCCATGGCCTAGACTCGCCACCAGTGTAAGAGGACATCGCCAACAAGGCGATAACAGTACAAGCAGGTATAGCTATGGGATCGTTTGTCCAGAATTAAAATTGATGAAAAATAAGAAAAGGCTTTAGCTTATTTGGCAATAAAACCGGACTTGTGTTGAGATGTTCAAACCCCAAATAGATACATTTTGCAAGACAAGGCAGAAGGTAAAGTTTTATTGCCAGAAAGGGTAAAAGCTAATCTTATATTCACAATTGTTTATACTGGCAGAAAGGTCCCATTGATATGAGCTTCATGGAAGATCAAACCCCAGGAGATCTCCTGCGTTAGGTCTTTAACAACAACGTGGTGTTTGTGATTTATTTTGAACTCCAGCTCTCGCAAGCTTCCTCGGGGGACTTGAACTCGCATGGTTTAAGGTGAAGAGCTTGGCCGTGACTTCCAGCGATGGCGAGCGACTTTATTGTGGTCCTAATGGATGTCCAAATGCAATTGAACCTCTTGACTTGTCACAGGAAGAATATGTCATTTCGATATGATGTCACGTGGACACAGGTGGGCCTCAAGTCTTGATTGTAGTATGCATGCACGTGATAGCAGCAGCGTGGTGTTTCAGGATCTCCATGCCAAGGTGGAGGTCTCGATGTGTCTCTGTATCTCTATGAGTCTCTACCTACAGAGTCACTATGGGTTTCTATGTATCTCGATGAGTCTCTGTATATCTATCATCTTACATAATGCAATGTGGTGCATGATCTCGATGTCTATGTGGAGATCTCTTCGAGTCTCTGTGTATCTCCATGGGTTTCTACCTCTCGTGTTTACTATGGGCCTCTGAGTCTCTGTGTACATTTGTGTCTTTATAGGTCTCTATGAGTCTCTGTATATCTCTCTTCTTACGTATGGCGATGTGGTTCAAGATCTCGATGCCCCAATGTCGAGGTTGTGCTGCTGCTGCCATGAACAGAGAGACAGACAGAAAGAGACACACAGAGAGAGACACAGACACACAGAGAGAGACACAGACACACAGAGAGAGACACAGACACACAGACAGAGACACAGACACACAGACAGAGACACAGACACACAGAGAGAGACAGACACACAGAGAGACACAGACACACAGACAGAGACACAGACAGACAGAGAGACACAGACAGACAGAGAGACACAGACAGACAGAGAGACACAGAGAGAGACAGAGAGAGACACACAGACACAGAGAGACACACAGACACAGAGAGACACACAGACACAGAGATACACACAGACACAGAGAGACACACAGACACAGAGAGACACACAGACAGACACAGACACAGAGAGACACACAGAGAGAGACACAGAGACAGTTCGTGTCGTGTCCGCTGTTCCTCCTCCGTTGGAGGAGGGCAGACCGCAGGGGGTTCACTAATTAGCCGGAGTGGCACGGCCACGCTCACACTGCTGTGGCTGGTGTCTTTAATGTATCGCTATTGGTCTCTATGGGTCTATTCGTGGCCGAGTCTACATGCCTCTTGGAGTATAGTGAGATGAGAATGGAAAAGCAGGAGAGTGAGATGAGAAGGGAGTGGAGTGAGATGAGAGGAGAGAGGCAGCAGAGTGCCTGGTTTGGAGTGAGATGAGAGGCAGGATAATACAGTGAATAATTTTTAAAAATCCGTGTCTGCAGTCTTCAAGTGCATCTGGGACTCGCCAGGATCGTAGCAGTCACTGGGGTTGATGTGACCACGTGTCCTTGTACTGCTGGGTGTACAGTAGTTTGGGTCTTTGCATTGTATAATCAGATCTGTCACAGTCTCCCCAGGCAACGCAAACTGAATAAGAGTGACATAATCTAGCGCAGTTACGCTGGAGGATATGTTGTGAGAGGTTGTGTAAAGTGCA